GAGAGACACGAGGAGAGCTGGAGCTCTGATGGAGTCAGGACTCAGAGAGAGACACGAGGAGAGCTGGAGCTTTGATGGAGTCAGGACTCAGAGAGACGCGAGGAGAGCTGGAGCTTTGATGGAGTCAGGACTCAGAGAGAGACACGAGGAGAGCTGGAGCTTTGATGGAGTCAGGACTCAGAGAGACACGAGGAGAGCTGGAGCTTTGATGGAGTCAGGACTCAGAGAGACACGAGGAGAGCTGGAGCTTTGATGGAGTCAGGACTCAGAGAGACACGAGGAGAGCTGGAGCTTTGATGGAGACAGGACTCAGAGAGACACGAGGAGAGCTGGAGCTTTGATGGAGTCAGGGACTCAGAGAGACACGAGGAGAGCTGGAGCTCTGATGGAGTCAGGACTCAGAGAGACACGAGGAGAGCTGGAGCTTTGATGGAGTCAGGACTCAGGGAGACACGAGGAGAGATGGAGCTTTGATGGAGTCAGGACTCAGAGAGAGACACGAGGAGAGCTGGAGCTTTGATGGAGTCAGGACTCAGAGAGAGACGAGGAGAGCTGGAGCTTTGATGGAGTCAGGACTCAGAGAGACACAAGGAGAGCTGGAGCTTTGATGGAGTCAGGACTCAGAGAGACACGAGGAGAGCTGGAGCTTTGATGGAGTCAGGACTCAGAGAGACACAAGGAGAGCTGGAGCTTTGATGGAGTCAGGACTCAGAGAGACACGAGGAGAGCTGGGAGCTTTGATGGAGTCAGGACTCAAAGAGACACGAGGAGAGCTGGAGCTTTGATGGAGTCAGGACTCAGAGAGACACGAGGAGAGCTGGAGCTTTGATGGAGTCAGGACTCAGAGAGACACGAGGAGAGCTGGAGCTTTGATGGAGTCAGGACTCAAAGAGACACGAGGAGAGCTGGAGCTTTGATGGAGTCAGGACTCAGAGAGACACGAGGAGAGCTGGAGCTTTGATGGAGTCAGGACTCAGAGAGAGACACGAGGAGAGCTGGAGCTTTGATGGAGTCAGGACTCAGAGAGACACGAGGAGAGCTGGAGCTCTGATGGAGTCAGGACTCAGAGAGACACGAGGAGAGCTGGAGCTTTGATGGAGTCAGGACTCAAAGAGACACGAGGAGAGCTGGAGCTTTGATGGAGTCAGGACTCAGAGAGACACGAGGAGAGCTGGAGCTTTGATGGAGTCAGGACTCAGAGAGACACGAGGAGAGCTGGAGCTTTGATGGAGTCAGGACTCAGAGAGACACGAGGAGAGCTGGAGCTTTGATGGAGTCAGGACTCAGAGAGAGACACGAGGAGAGCTGGAGCTTTGATGGAGTCAGGACTCAGAGAGACACGAGGAGAGCTGGAGCTTTGATGGAGTCAGGACTCAGAGAGACACGAGGAGAGCTGGAGCTTTGATGGAGTCAGGACTCAGAGAGACACGAGGAGAGCTGGAGCTTTGATGGAGTCAGGACTCAGAGAGACACGAGGAGAGCTGGAGCTTTGATGGAGTCAGGACTCAGAGAGACACGAGGAGAGCTGGAGCTTTGATGGAGTCAGGACTTAGAGAGAGACACGAGGAGAGCTGGAGCTTTGATGGCAAACACTGACGGTTTATTTGGAGCTTCGGCCGGAGAATTCACAAGACAGGTGGTGTGTCACGAGTTGACACAGCGGATGCCAAACCAATTCTGAAAAACTCTTCTGCAGCTCCATGTTTTAACTAGTTCGGAGTGTAATAATCAACATTCTTGATCAGCGAGACTAAACAATTATAGACCCTGAATCTAACTAGAGCTCTCGTCCATAGGAAATAATGTGCGGCAGGGAACCTTCGTCCCTGACCAGTGAACTACCTCATGGCGGCTTGTGCTCTGTCATAGACAGCTCCTCCTTAAGAGAGATAGCAGCAATACCCAGGCCGTAGACCTATGCCGTGGGAAAGGAGACAGTGAGAGGAGAAAATGATGAACTGTGTCGAAGGTTAAATACCTAAGCAAATTATTCCCTAACACTGTTAATAATTGAGTTTTTGGGAGAAGGGGTGGGATTAAATAAGTGAAAACTTCTTCCCACCCCTTTTCGGATTTGTGTAATTAGGTAGTTTATTTGTTCATATATAATTTGCTAGTAGTCAATAATAGTTTTTGTTTATTAATTTGATACTGCTTAAGTTGGTATATAATCATAATTTTCATGTTTCATTTCAGTATTATTATACTTTTTTTGTAAAATAAAATAAAATAAGTGCAATCTTTTTAGAGAAACAGTTAATAATAATAATAATACATTTGATTCATATAGCGCTTTTCCTGGTGCTCAAAGCACTTGTTTTAATTTTGTTTTAAAGAAACACAACTGCAGTTACTTGTTTTTGAGTGAGTTTCTGCGATGTGAGGAGTATTGTTGGCTTTTAATAGCCGAGCTGCAGCCATAAAACTCCGTCGTCGTGGTGATTCCTCTTTGTTGCGTTGCCTAGAGACTGATGTGGAGAAGGGAAAGAGATCAAGTGTTCAAGTTGATGGATGGGGAACAGAGACTATTGAGGAGAATACTGTCCTTTTTTTAGTTACTTCACATACTGTTTCAGAACCACGATTAAACACAAATAAATAAAGACAAACTAATGTAAAGTTAAAGAGTCCTCTCCTGCTGATGTTCAGGTGTATATCAGTATGTAGTGTCTCTACTTTAAAGAGTCCTCTCCTGCTGATGTTCAGGTGTATATCAGTATGTAGTGTCTCTACTTTAAAGAGTCCTCTCCTGATGATGTTCAGGTGTATATCAGTATGTAGTGTCTCTACTTTAAAGAGTCCTCTCCTGCTGATGTTCAGGTGTATATCAGTATGTAGTGTCTCTACTTTAAAGAGTCCTCTCCTGCTGATGTTCAGGTGTATATCAGTATGTAGTGTCTCTACTTTAAAGAGTCCTCTCCTGCTGATGTTCAGGTGTATATCAGTATGTAGTGTCTCTACTTTAAAGAGTCCTCTCCTGCTGATGTTCAGGTGTATATCAGTATGCAGTGTCTCTACTTTAAAGAGTCCTCTCCTGCTGATGTTCAGGTGTATATCAGTATGTAGTGTCTCTACTTTAAAGAGTCCTCTCCTGATGATGTTCAGGTGTATATCAGTATGTAGTGTCTCTACTTTAAAGAGTCCTCTCCTGATGATGTTCAGGTGTATATCAGTATGTAGTGTCTCTACTTTAAAGAGTCCTCTCCTGCTGATGTTCAGGTGTATATCAGTATGTAGTGTCTCTACTTTAAAGAGTCCTCTCCTGCTGATTGTTCAGGTGTATATCAGTATGTAGTGTCTCTACTTTAAAGAGTCCTCTCCTGATGATGTTCAGGTGTATATCAGTATGTAGTGTCTCTACTTTAAAGAGTCCTCTCCTGCTGATGTTCAGGTGTATATCAGTATGTAGTGTCTCTACTTTAAAGAGTCCTCTCCTGCTGATGTTCAGGTGTATATCAGTATGTAGTGTCTCTACTTTAAAGAGTCCTCTCCTGCTGATGTTCAGGTGTATATCAGTATGTAGTGTCTCTACTTTAAAGAGTCCTCTCCTGCTGATGTTCAGGTGTATATCAGTATGTAGTGTCTCTACTTTAAAGAGTCCTCTCCTGATGATGTTCAGGTGTATATCAGTATGTAGTGTCTCTACTTTAAAGAGTCCTCTCCTGCTGATGTTCAGGTGTATATCAGTATGTAGTGTCTCTACTTTAAAGAGTCCTCTCCTGCTGATGTTCAGGTGTATATCAGTATGTAGTGTCTCTACTTTAAAGAGTCCTCTCCTGCTGATGTTCAGGTGTATATCAGTATGTAGTGTCTCTACTTTAAAGAGTCCTCTCCTGCTGATGTTCAGGTGTATATCAGTATGTAGTGTCTCTACTTTAAAGAGTCCTCTCCTGCTGATGTTCAGGTGTATATCAGTATGTAGTGTCTCTACTTTAAAGAGTCCTCTCTTGCTGATGTCCAGGTGTATATCAGTATGTAGAGTCTATTTTCACCCTCTGTCTGAAACCAGAGCCCAGTCTGCTCTGATTGGTTAGCTCGCCGGCTCTGTTGTGATTGGTCAACCTGAGGTAACGTTTTGTTTCTTTCTGTGTTCCCCCAGCACCTCTCCAGCAGACACAGCGTCCAACAGAGCACCACACAGGTAAAGTACTGCTGTAACATGAGTGTAAACACATTAAAAGTATACTCAAGCTCTCAATTACCGTACTTTACTTCCCCAGAATGCACCACAGTTACTATTCCCTATTCCTGATTTAACGTGCGCCTCTGAATTACATAAAGACACCGCAAACACATTATACTTTAATAATTCAGCTCCTACAGAGAGACACAGTTTGTACTTTCACTATAGTCATATCATTAATACTTCAACTTCAAACGTGCTTTATAGAGTAACAGCCTTGTCTCGTCTAAGTCAATATTACAGCGTTAGTATTTAGCGTTAATGTTCCTTTTTCCAATCTTTTCAATCTTACCGTAATGCTTGATGTAAAATTATAAATATTCCTGTGATGTTGATATATATGATACATCTCACTATCTTGTGTTGTGGTGTGTTCAGGCTGATGGTAGGGTTGATATAACGTGTAAAGCTTGTGTTGTGGTGTGTTCAGGCTGATGGTAGGGTTGATATAACGTGTAAAGCTTGTGTTGTGGTGTGTTCAGGCTGATGGTAGGGTTGATATAACGTGTAAAGCTTGTGTTGTGGTGTGTTCAGGCTGATGGTAGGGTTGATATAACGTGTAAAGCTTGTGTTGTGGTGTGTTCAGGCTGATGGTAGGGTTGATATAACGTGTAAAGCTTGTGTTGTGGTGTGTTCAGGCTGATGGTAGGGTTGATATAACGTGTAAAGCTTGTGTTGTGGTGTGTTCAGGCTGATGGTCGGGGTCAGAGACACGGCGAGCCCTGCAGAGTGCCGGTGCCTCACCACCTGCTGGTCAACCTGAAGAGCTTCACCTACAACAGCATCGGAGAGGACACGGACATCTTCTTCTCTCTGT